TTAGTGTTAAGAGCCTTTTAAGACCAAGCACCCTGATGGGCGGTACTGGTGCATGCCTTTAATCTCAGAATTGCAACTCTCAGGAGACAGAGGCTAGCCTGCTCTACAAAGCTACACAGAGAAACCCTGTCTCCAAAAACAAAAAACAACCAACCAAACCAAAAACACCAAGCACCCATATTTCCAATAACTCCTTGCTGCTTTTAATATTCCCAGGGAGGTTTGCAAGTAGGAAGAGGGGGGGGCATTACATTGCCACTCTTGCTGTGGCTGACTATATTAATCCTGACATCCATGTTTTTTAGCCCTAGTTCCCTCCTCGGATAGGAATCCTCTACTCCGTGTTTCATGAGGGGCCACACGTGCCTACGTTAGACATCCTTACCAATACTTCAAAGGGCGAATGGCTGAGACACCAAAACAAAAACATCGCATACCAACTGGAAGGGAGCCCTTAGTAAGATTTTGTTGAATGAATGAGTAAAACCAAGGAAGGCATGGTCTACGAAAGAATGCTCCTTGCCCATGGCGCTGGAGTGAAAGTGTGACGGTCCCGTCGCTGGTACCGGGGTCTCCCACCAGCACCCCGACCTCCCGCCGCGCCCACGGACGGACGGACGCAGAGCGAGACGAGAGATGCGCACAGGCTCGGCCTTGAGCCCAGAGTTGAGAGCCGGCTGGCCCGGTTGCCATGGCACCGCCTGGTGCTCCACCCTCCGCGCCCCCACACACCCCCTCGGCAGCCAGGGACCGGCAGTGGGTCACGTGCCGCGCGGCGTAGCCACGCCCCCGCTTCCCAGCGCAGCGCCCAGCGGGGTCACGTGGGATGGCAACAGGTCACGTGGGCGCGGAGGAGTCCCCGCCCCGTCCCCTCCCGGGTCGCCCACTGCGCATGGGTGGATGGAGGGACGGCTGGCTGGCGGGCGGGCGGTCACGTGCGCGCCGCGAACGTCCGGCGTTGGCCCCGCCCCCCCGGTTTCCGCGCGCCTCTCTGGCAGCTGGTCACATGGTGAGGGTGGGGGTGAGGGGGCCTCTCTAGCTCGCGGCCCGAGTCTATGGTCTGGCCCGAAGCGTCCAGCTGCCCGGGACCGATCCCCGGTGTATGGCGCCGCAGGAACCGGCTCCCGGGCCCAGATAAAGGGCCACCTCCGCAGCTCGCGGCCGGGCGCGAGGTGAGTGCAGCCGCCTGCAGCGACGGGGGCCAGCGCGCGCCCCGGCACCGCCCCGGCGGTCCCCCACTGCTGAGCAAGGGTGGCCCAAGGGCGGGAAGTGGGGCCTCTGTGGTCGCGGGCCCGGGTGCGATGTTAAGAGGGTAAAGCGTGGAACCTTCGATGCCGGCCAGCGCCGTGCACTGTGCTGCTGTGGTCTGTGCAAGTGCGATGCCCCCACCCCGGGAGGAATGCACTCTCTCCGGCCCCTCCAGGGCATCACGTGGCCGGGGGCTTGATGGGAGAGTCTTTTGTGTTACCTGAGGCCCGCGCCGGGCTCTGGCAGCGCGGAGGGAGGGGATGGGCGGCTGTGTCGGTGCGGCCGTGGGCAGGAATTCCTTTGTTAACTGCTGGGTCATCCCCCTCCTAGCTGGGAAGGAGAGGAGGGCTTGGCTCTAGAAGCCTCTGTGATTGTAGGAGATCTCCGAGAATGGCTACCTCCCGCTACGAACCGGTGGCTGAAATCGGTGTCGGTGCCTATGGGACGGTGTACAAGGCCCGAGATCCCCACAGTGGCCACTTTGTGGCCCTCAAGAGTGTGCGAGTTCCCAACGGAGGGGGAGCTGGAGGGGGCCTTCCCATCAGCACGGTCCGCGAGGTGGCCTTACTGAGGAGGCTGGAGGCCTTCGAGCACCCCAATGTTGTGCGGTGAGGAGGTTGGGTTGGGAGTGGGGAGGAAAGATTAGGGTCTGTAAGCCAGGGGTGTGGTCGTCGGGAGGTGGGACCCTAGAAATCCAGAGGCCACGTTGGAACAAAGGACACTGACCGGCTGGCCACCGTTGGTTTTTGTCAGGCTAATGGATGTCTGTGCTACCTCCCGAACTGATCGAGACATCAAGGTTACCCTCGTGTTTGAGCATATAGACCAGGACCTGAGGACGTACCTAGACAAAGCACCCCCGCCAGGCTTGCCAGTGGAGACTGTCAAGGTGAGCAGAGAGCGCACGGTGGGAGGTGGATTGGGGTCTTTGTAGTCGGGTCGTTGGGGTGTTTGAGCGTGTTACATGGTGTTCCGTTCTCTGCTTTCTCCTTCAAAACCAGGACCTGATGAGACAGTTTCTAAGCGGCCTGGATTTTCTTCATGCAAATTGCATTGTTCACCGAGACCTGAAACCGGAGAACATTCTGGTGACAAGCAATGGGACGGTCAAGCTGGCTGACTTTGGCCTGGCCAGAATCTACAGCTACCAGATGGCCCTCACACCCGTGGTGAGTAGAAAGGTGGCGGCTGAGGCATCTTGTACTTGATGCTCTCAAAGCCCAGGAGGATGAGAAGGGCCCTCACTGCTCCGTCCTCTTTCCCTCCTCTTCTCTTTAGGTTGTTACTCTTTGGTACCGAGCTCCCGAAGTTCTTCTGCAGTCTACATACGCAACACCTGTGGACATGTGGAGCGTTGGGTGTATCTTTGCAGAGATGTTTCGTCGAAAGTATGGGACTTGAAATTCTTTTGTTTCCGACACAGGGTTTCTCTTTGTAGCTTGGGGGCTGTCCCTGGAACTCCCTCGGTAGGACAGGCTGGCCTTGAACTCAAGAGACCCGCCTGCCTCTGCTCCTTGGTTCTGCATTAAAGGTGTGAGCGAGCTACCGCCACCACCTGGCTCAGGGTTTGGACCGCTTAAGCCGCCTTCAGTTCTACCAGGCATTTGCTGTTATTTACGGTGTTAGAGGTTGAGATCAGAACTGCACATACACTGGGCCCTAAACTACACTCCCCAGCCCTGAATCTTTTACAAGACATATCTGTTCTTGACCGTTTTTTGTATATACCGTGCTGGACCCCCAACCTAGGCTCTTGCATTGTGTCCTGCCACCCTTCTATAGTCCCAACCTATCCCGATCGTGTTCACCAACTTGCCTAAAACGAGAAAGGGTTACAGGCAAAGATCCCTGAAATGTCTTGGGATTAGGAGGTTTACATTCCTTTATCTGCTGTTCTCTCTAGTCTGAGCCACTTTGTGGTTACCATTCCCTTATTTTTGAAATAATATATGCTTGGAATATTTCTCTTCCTTAGGCCTCTCTTCTGTGGGAACTCTGAAGCTGACCAGTTGGGCAAGATATTTGAGTAAGTGTCCGACAAGGGGAGGAAACTCCGCTCAGCTCCAGGTGGCGGCCGGTCCTGGAGGTGCGAGCTGGGCAAGGGCCCCCCTGAGCAGAGCTGTTATCCCTACAGTCTCATTGGATTGCCCCCAGAAGATGACTGGCCTAGAGAGGTGTCTCTGCCCCGAGGAGCCTTTTCCCCCAGAGGGCCACGGCCAGTGCAGTCGGTGGTGCCAGAGATGGAGGAATCTGGAGCGCAGCTGCTGCTGGTATTGGCCATGGGTGTGGGCCATGCTTGGTCCGGGAGGAGGCCCCCCCCCCCCCCCCCCGGCAAAGCTCTTAGGGCATTAAGTGTGAGGACCTGAGTTCAAATCCTCAGAACCCGTGTAAAAGCTATGTGTGTCAGCAAGCTGCTGTAATGTTTCTTAATACCAAATGGGAGGCGGGAGTTAGAATTCCCTGGAAGCTCACAGGCCAGATAGCCTGACGAACACAGCCCTGACAGGAACCTCTCAGGGTGGAAGGGAAGGGTAACGCCCCAGACTGATGTCTGTGTGAGCACTGACTTGAACATAACATGCACACACAGAAGAAACACAGCAGCTCTTGAGGGCCCAGGCCGTTGCGGAACCAAGATGTGTGGTTAGTGGACAGGCTGAGTTTCTCCTGCTATTTTGAGTGGCCAGCGGAGTGAGATCCAGCAAACACCCGCACAGCTGTGTCAGGATGGGCATCACCCTCCTTGGCTGGTTTCTGACCTTTGCCTCCCCTCTTAGGAGATGCTGACTTTTAACCCACATAAGCGGATCTCTGCCTTCCGAGCCCTGCAGCATTCCTACCTACACAAGGAAGAGCAGGACCCAGAGTGAGAAGATTAGCAGCTCAACTCTCCTCGGGACACTTGAGCAGTGGCGAGAACCTCAACCTGTGCCTTCCTCTGGGGCTGTGGAGACACCTCCAGTTTTTTACAGAAAATATTTTAACCCTTGAGCGACACTCCCCGCCCCTCCTTATGAGGCCTGCCCTCTTACCCTCCCCTTTCTCTACACTAAAGGGTAGGTGTCTCTGTCTTCTTCTCCCCGCCCTGATTTATACTGGGATCTTTTTTATACAGCAAAACAAGACAAAGAAATATGGCCTTTTTTTTTTTGTCCTTTTTTTCCCCTTTAATGGTTTTTCTGGTTGGGTTTGCCTTTGTGAGATGAGAGCCCACTTGGAACAATCTGTCTGTAGACTGTCACATAGGACCTAATCCAGCTGTTTGGCTGACAAGATTGGAAAGGGACTTTCAATTCCTTTCTCTGCATATTCAGTTAAAATGGCTTTAGTTTGAAGTCACTCCTTCACTCTGGGGCTTGGACAAGACTTCTGTGGTAGAAACACTTGCCTAGCATGCGTGAGGCCCTGGCACCCTTCGCTCCAAGGAAGTTTTCCCCTGATACTTCCTGATTCGTCCTTGGAGCCAGGCTAAGGTGTCTTAAGGGGAAGGTAACCAGTTATGAAAAGCTTCTAGCCCTGTCCATGCTTCTAGGAGTACACTACATTCTCCGAGGGAAGAGGTATTAAGTTTTTCTTTCCCTATATCTTGCTCCCATCAAAACAAATGTTTTAGGGGGAAAATGACCCTAGGTTTTCAAGAATTAGGGGGCTATAACAGCTGGGAGAGCAAAGCCAAGGGTAAGAGACTTGCCGAGAGGACCTGCCTATCATCCCACCATTAGGAGGCTGTGGCATGGGGTCCAGAACTCAAGGTCGCCCTTGGCCACACAGCATGTTGGAGACCAGCCTGGGCTAACAAAGGTCCTGTCTGGAAGGTCAAGTCTCACAGGAAGGCACTGGGGTTGGCTCTGGGGTCTTTTTGATTCCGGAATCTCATTGCCAGCCAGACACCAAGGATCTACAGGAGGGGGGGGGGGAGAGCAAAGTTATCTTTGGATTTGGGGATTTGAGGCTTATGGGTGTCTATGTGAAGGAAATGGGGATCATTACCTCTGTGAAGCTAAAGAAGAGGCCAACACCACCTAGGATCTTCAGGGCTTCGTCTGAATGCTTAAGGAACTTCTCCCCACACATCTGGCATGCAGAACTCCTAGTCTTGCACATCTGATGACAAACATGTAATATGATACAATGCTAGCCTGCTCCATCCAAGTAGCTAGTGAATGTCTCCAGAAATAACTGATACTTGAACATTCCCAGACTGGAGGCCCACTTGGCTAAATCCTTGCAGCTTCTATTTCAATTTTTTTGTTTTGTTTTTTTGTTTTTTTTTTTTAAGAGTCAGGGTTTCTCTGTGGCTTTGGAAGCTGTCCTGAAACAGCTCTCATAGACCAGGCTGGCCTAGAACTCACAGAGATCTGCCTGCCTCTGCCTCCCCAGTGTTGGGAGTAAAGGCGTGCTCCACCAATGCCCTGTGCAGCCTCTGTTTAACAGCCCAGTTCACGGCTGCTGGTTCACACTGGGGTCACGTATCTGGGCATGGCCCTTACCCATTTCCTCCTAGCTGCACTCCCCACCCTTCAACTTACTGCACCACAGGAAGTGTCATCTTGTAGGGATGGCCTTGTGAGGTTGAACAAGCCACAACAGTCAAAACTTCTCTCCAATTCATGCCGGGTACTGTTGCTCATGACCCCCCACGATGCATTGATGACATCCATCTAGAACACACAGGCAGAGGCACATTAATGTCCCTACATTGAGCTTTCAGTTCACACGCTTCAACTCTAGCAAGGGCAACTAGTGTCCCCCAGAAATGGGGTGGCAGGTCATGATCACAGACAATTCCAAGTCTTTCTCAGGTTCCCTCTGAGTACATCTTGGGGAACTAACCATACATGTCAGAGGAAAATGTACATCTCTGAAGTAGTGGACCTGAGCATTAAGGTGTGGAAGGGTCAGGTTAAGGGAGCTATCCTTTAAAGGTAGACATAGCAAGCAAGTATTTGAAAGGGCATCACCGCCTTACCTGTTTGTTTCGGTTAATAGCCAGACATGAGCAAGAGATTCCAAACTGGAAGATGAAGACCAAGCCAAGAATGATCATGTACTGAGAAGAAGTTATGGCAAAAAGATCTAGTTTCCATTTAAAATACCTGGGGGCTGGAGAGACAGCTTAGCAGTTAAGAGCACCAGCTGCTCTTCCGGAGGACCCAGGTTCAATTCCCAGTATCCACATGGCAGTTTCCTGTCTATAACTCAAGTTCCAGGGGACCTGTTACCTTCATACCAACGCACATAAAGTTAAATTTTAAAAAACCCCAATATGAAAGCCAGCCTGGTGTGAATTCCAGGCTAGCCAGGATTACATAGCATGATCCCATTATTTTTTATTTTTAAAACCTCACCCAGTGTAATTTGTAACTGCAGTGTGGCGGACAAGGGGACAGAGTTCAAGGCCCTTCTCTGCTCCTAAAACTAGTTTTATCGAGTTGAGAACAAAATCATCAACTTCTGTGAATTACAGAATACGAACAAGCAGACACGTCTGAGGTTCCCAACCCTTTTAGGAAAAGCCTGCCCGGGGGACCCTAGTCAATCCTGGTCAGGATACGAAGAAGAGCAGCACTTGGTGATGGTTAACAGCCCCCACGAGTCCAGCCACTGCAATGAGGAGAAGGAAGACGCCCACAGCAATGACTCCTCCAATGATATGAATACTGGAAACCAGACCCAGGCCCTTGCCCCAGGCAGCCACGCCAATGAGCAGTAAGCCCACAAGCTGCAAGAAACAGAAAGTAGGATATGTTTCAGCCTGGTGTGGTGGCTCACACCTGTAATCCCGCACGCACTACAGCCAAGGTCCAGGCTAGCCAGTGCCAGCTACATGAGACCCTGTCATCGCCAAAGAAGTCCAGTATGCAGCGCAGCCAAAGGCTGCAAGGACTAAGTAGGGTAACCAACTGAGGTATGCTTTCGGAGCTACTCATCCCTGGGCGCGCTTTGCAAGTTACTGGGAATATCTGGGATGGAGTGAGGCAATGGCAGTAGCGTCTCGGGATACAATCCTTAGGGTTGTCCGGCGTCTCTATTTTGGGCAGAAACCGGAGCACAGGTGGAGACTGGGACTATAGGCCCGCAGTCTTCGGTCCAACCCTCTCCACCACCAAACAAGCCCCCTCACCACCGGAAGTCTCTACTCTCCCACGGAAGTACCCAGGAATTCCCTCTTCGCCGGAAGTTTCTGGGGAGCTTCCCAGAACCCTTCCCCCGTAAACCCCTCTCCCCACCGGAAGTCCCCTAGAAATTCTCCCCATTCTCTCCGCCCCAGAGCGTCCCCCACCTCCAAAACCTCACCATATAAACGACGTTGAGAGCGCACAGCGCGTTCTTGGAACAGGCAAATCCGCCACAAACCATCTCCCCAGTTCTGGGGACCCAAATGGTCCCAAGGACTGGAGGGGAGGGTACCTGGGACCGTCTTGTAGGGCTCCAACAGCTTCTATCGCTTTAAATCCAAGCCAGCCGAACCAATTCTCTGCGCCTGCACCGCCCCACCCCTACCTCTGGATTGGCGAGACTCGTGGCTAATCCAGGACTTCCAGCATTTCAGTGCCAATCAATCTGCATTGCGTCACCAGCCCGCCTCCCAGTCCTCCCCTCAGTTTCTTCATTGGACGAAACTTTGAAGAAAAAAAAAAAAAATCGAAGAGAACGTTTCTAGACAGTTTCTTAGGGTCCAGATTCTAAACTTCAAAAGCCTGGGTTCCTGTTCTTCCAGGTGCGACTCTAGGAGTCCGAGGAGAGCCTCAGGGGACTCAGGTGAACAGAAAAATAGGGGCTTGTAGGGGGGGGGAGGGAGGAAGGGGCTCCGCCTCTTCAAGACTGGCCCTTCCCCGCCGGATACCCCAGGTGTCAGGATGATCTCATGATGATGCCATCGTTTTGTTGTTCGTGCGTCATACTCTGGAGCACCAACAGGAGCCAAATATTGAACTATGTGGCCCAGCTAGGGTCCAAATCAGACACAGCAAGAGCCGGCAAATCCTCACCCATTGTTCTTTCCTTTCTTTTTGGCTTTTCGAGACTGGGTTTCTCTGTATCTCTGGAGACTGTCCTGGAATTCGCTCTGTAGACCAGGCTGGCCTCGAACTCAGAGATTCACCTACTTCTGCCTCCGGAATGCTGGGATCAAAGGCGTGCGCCAACCACCGCCCAACATTTATTAAATGTCTACTAGTGCGCATGTTCTGTTCTGCATTCCTTCCTCTGCAGCGTGAACATGCCAAAAGATTCAAGTGGAAACAGTGATTTGAGGCCGGTGCATTCCTGTTTGTAACAAAACCACAGGCGCAGAGCACTCTGCATCTTTACAATACGTGCGTACCTGATTTTGGGCTTGCACAAAATGACACAAGGTGTGAGGACAGGACTGGACCATGAATAAATAAAGACTGTCCATGCCTTCATTTCATCATTTGTTTACTTTTACTTTATGTACACTGGCGTTTTGCCTGCATGTGTGTCTGTCCGAGGGAGTCCGATCCCTTGGACCTGGAGTTGCAGATAGTTGTGAGCTGTCATGTGGGTGCTGGAATTGTACCCCTGTGCTCTTAATCACTGAGCCATCTCTTCAGCCCCCAGCTCTTCATATTTTCACTCCCGATGGGGGGATAATGGGTGGCTATTCAATACCGTTATTGTATAAGCATTTAGAGGTAGTGCCCTTTGAATAGGACTGAGAAATGGAGCAACTCTTCCCTTCCTCTTGAACAAAGTGGCTTTGGTGGGAAGAAACCCAAAAAAACTCCCCATTAATCCACACGGTGATTTGAGTCTACACATGCTCACATCATGTGACCTGCCTACAGTCTAGTCTTATGCTGGAGTCTAACCACACCAGTTTTACCTTTGTGACTTAGCATCTGTACCGGCCAGGCACTTATTAAGCCCTCTACACCTACCTCTTCAGCCATAAAATGGAGATAGATGGCAATGCATCTGCCTCTAACAATACTTCTCTAAGGACTGCTGTTCTGTTGTGAGCACCGAATGAGTTAGGGTCTATAAAATGCCCTAGTCAATACCCAGTATCCAGTAACACTCAGTTACAACAGTTTAGTCCATTTTTATGGAGTCCAGTAAATAATCCAACCTAATCCCTTTATCTCCGAATGTAAAGATGGTTACATACTTTTCATAGACCATCCTCGAGAAAATATGTATAACAGTCTAGAGAGTTGGCTCCAAGGTTCAGAGCACTTGAGTTCAGTTCCCAGCACCCACATGGTGGCTCAGAAATATCCATAGTTCAAGTTCCAGGAAGCCCAATACCTTCTTACCTATGTAGGCACCAGGCACATACATATGTGCACGTAAAAACACTCATACACAGAAAATAAATACATTTTTACAAGAAACAAATAACGACTGGCCCATAATGGTGCACACCTTTAGTCCCAGTGCTTGGGAGGCAGAGGCAGGCAGAACTCGTGAGTGTGAGACCAGCCTGATCTACAGAGCGAGTTCCAGGACAGCCGATACAGAAAAACCTCAAAAAACAAAACAAAACAAAAAACAACAACAAAAAACAAAACAAACAACAAAAAACAAAATAAACAAACAAAACAACAACAACAACAAAAAACAAAACAAACAAAAAAACAAAACAAAACTTCATTTCCCTCCCAAGAACTTGCTCTGTAGACCAGGCTAGCCTCAAACTCAAACTCACAGAGATCCCTCTGCCTCTGCCTCCCCGAGTGCTGGAATTAAAGGCGTACACCACCACTGCCAGGCAAAGAAAATAATTCTAAAATAGTTTTTTTTTTTCCAAGGAGCTATACAAAAGAAAGTAATTTACTATCTACATATAGGTTCAATCTGTCTTTGAATCAGAATAATGAGGTCAAAGCTGGGGAGATAGGCTGAGGATGAAGAAAGCTGGGAGACAGGCTCAGAATAAAGTACTCGCAATGCAAGTATGAGACCCAGAATTTGTATCCCAGAGTATCCACAAAGGCCAGGCAGGTGAGGCTGCTGCCTGTAACTCTGGCACGCTGAAGGTGGAGACAAGGGGTCTTCAGGGCAAGCTGACTAGCTAGGTTAGCCCGACAGTAAGTTCTAGATTTGCTGGAAGATCCTGCCTCAATGAATACAGTGGAGAGCAATCAAAGAAGACACACAACCTTGGACCAAGCCGCACAGAGGCACACATATCCATGAGCATCCATACACAGATGCTGCGATGGGTAGTTTTACCTGTCTTGACAGGGTTTATTTAGAATCATCTGGGAAGAGAGGCTCAGGGGAAGATTTCTTTCTACATGAGGATGGCATGTCTCTGTGGGGGTGTCTTAATTAAATTAATTGGTGTAAAACAAACCAGCCCACTGTGGGCAGCCCCATTCCCTAGGAAGTCCTGAACTGTATAAGGGTGGAGGTAGAGAGCTGAACACAGACAAACATGTGAGCATATGACATTCCCACAGCAAGGGTTATAACGCAGAGCTGTAAATAGAAATAAACCCGTGCTGACTAAGCTGGGTTTTTGTTTGTTTGCCACGGAATTGTATCGCAGTAAAAGAAAGGGGGCCAGAACACAGAGGAACACATACACCCATGTATAACATGCATACATGGGCTGGAGAGATGGCTTAGAGGTTAAGAGCACTGGCTGCTCTTCCAGAGGTCCCGAGTTCAATTCCCAGCAACCACATGGTGACTCAAAACCATCTGTAATGAGATCTGGTGCCCCCTTCTGGCCTACAGGCAGACTACTGTATATATAATAAATAAACATTAAACACACACACACATACATATGCCAAAAAAATAGTAATAATCGGGGGCAATTACACATTACCTACAGCTCCCCACCAACTTGCCTTGTCTCCATTTTCCCCTTCAATTCCTCATTCGGGTCACAAGTCTAGAGCAGAGCCATGGTACTGAGGAACTGGCTGGGAAGTATCTCAGCTGCCTGTCTGTTAAGTTAAAAGAACAATTGGATCTTTGTTCACCTGTTACGGGTCTTTCTGAGCAACGGCTGCACTTCTGCTTAACAGTGATAAAGTATCCTACCCTCTGGGCTTGTCGTTAGTATATACGAAAGTCTGTTGTAAATGACTAAATGTTACACACAGACTAATTATTATAATAGAAACTGAACTTGGAGCACATAGTTTTATCTGGCTATAGGTTACTTTCTCCCCTATAACCCATTCTTCACATACACAGGAGGTGATTATAGCGAATACATGACTAAGAGAAGCCTGTAGGAATGTGTAGAGAGAGGAGTTGAATAACTGGGACTTTGACCCTTGATGTTTAGCTGTATGAGCCTCAGTTTTAAGGGTGAGCCCCAGCCCCAAAGAAGGGGATAAGTGTACTCCAGCATGCAGGCCTCTGTGGTGGCATACCAAGGGTATGTGGATTTCTGTGTGATTCTGAGACAAATTTGCAAGTTGCCAAGAGTATGGGATCCTACCTGTGTTCTCCATGGCCCAGTTCTCCCAGAACCAACACCCATCTTAATTATCTACCTCCCACAGAGGCTGTGAGAACTCTTATTAAGGTCGCCGGACAGGAATCATACCCTGGGTTGGCTGTCAGAGCTGAAGGGCCAACGCTAGAGGGGGCAGGAGGTGTAAGAGGCAGTACCTTGTGGGTTGTGGGTTTGAGACTCACCAGTCAGGAAGTGAGGCCGACAGACGGAAGGGCAAGGGCAGGCAGGGTTGAGGAGTTCTGGGGCACAGCAGAAGGAGCCTTCTGAAGTTTGGGGGCTGCAGGGTCATGGGCTTCAGGGCCAGAGCTGGTTGTTAGTCTGGCAAGGCAGGTCTGTGTAACATGTATGCCCAGAGGCAGTTGGCTCTAGCCACAGTGAGAGCAGAGGTCAGACGACATGAGGTGGCCAAGCAGGCTCTAAGCCGACTCAGGAAGCTGGCTGACAGAGTGGGTGACCCGGATCTCCGAGATGGCATCCAGGCTTCACTGGACAACATACGAGGTAAGAGATGCATCCATCCCTAACTTGGCTGTTTGGGGGAGCAGCAGGGGACACAGAAAGGCTTAATGGTGTCATAGTATAACTGTTTGCTATGCAAGCGGCCACTTCCTAGTTCTTAAGATGGAGCTGGGACTCGAGACGAGGACTTTTGGGGAGGATGGAAAAAGACGTGGAGGGGGGTATTATTAGTCCTCTTTCCAAAATCGCCTCTGAACAAGACACCAGTCACTGTGGAGCTGACCCTTCTTGGCAGTACAGTGAGGGGTTAAGCATTGGGAAGACAGACTGTAACAGACCCATTAGATGGAGTCCCGTCTGGGGAGTCCAGAACAGGAAACAGTCAGGGGCAGGAGGTTCTGGGACTTGATAATGTGTCCATTCCCAGGGCCCACTAAAGATCAGTGACCCCTCATTCTCCAGCTGAGAAAAACACACGCAGAAGGGAGGGGGTGTGATGTGTGGAGGTTTCTGAGCGCACTACTAACCCTTAGAACCCCACAGCCTGTATAGCTGCAGTGGGGAGGCCCTCAGAACTTGTCCCAGCCCCTCCCCCCT